TATATATATATATATATATATATTTGCCTACTATCTTGTTTGTATTGTTTTTTTAGCCCCCCCCTCCCAGTGGCACAACGGTATGTCTGTGGACTTACAACACTAGAAACCGTGTTTTGATACCCGTGGTGGGCAGAGCACAGATAGCCCATTATTTAGCTCTGTGCTTAACTACAAACAAACTAAACTAAACGAGCATTGTTTTCGAAGGATTGATATTAGCTACCCCTACATTTACTTTATTTTTTCAAAAGTTTTTCTTTACTTGTTTGCTTGTTGTTGTTTTTATGCAGTGTTTCAATAGACAAAGGAAGGTTCTATTTATAACCACGTTCTAAATACAAGAGGTTCCAACTGTAATATTTGTTGTTTATCTATTATTGGCTGGTAATTCCAGTTGTACCCTGTACCTAAGCTTTTCAAAGGAACACAAAAGTTCTGTAAAAAAGCTAACTTCAAGGGAGTAATGATAACATCGTTTACACTAGAATTATGATTTGTTTAAACTACTATTAGTTATCAATAATACTTATAAAAGCGGATACTCCGTTTGAAACTATATCTCCTCAGAGAATTTGGTTGACACCATTGTTTTGAATTTTGAAGAAGAACAAGAAATTCAAACTTTTTACTGTGTTATTTACAGACATTCCTAGAACTTGTGACTCAGTCATTACATAGCTATTGTTATAAAAAGTAACACTGTATAGTATTGCAAATCTATGATGACCTGTTGAGGAGATATTTAAAATAGTATTTCGATAAACATTCCGAGCCATACGAACATAGGCAGTGCTACCACCTACCTGATAACTTAAGACAAAAAGTTCTGGATTTATGACATTTTCAATAAACTTAATAATAAAGATATATATTTACAATACAGGTAGAATATGAGCTCCCATCGGAACTAACATTACTTGTTTAACTACCTGATTATTGAACAAATATAATTATTATAAATACAAAAACTTAATACATCTTTATATCTTTGGAAGTAAAATTTCTTTCTTCAAGTACTATGGAAGGATTACAATATTGTTCTATTAATGAATTCATAACACAAATTAAATATTTCAGTAGAAGTTTCGTATATAGAGTGATAAAGTCATATATTTGAATAGTTTTCACTTGTATACAATTATTCTAAAAATGGGTTGATTATTATCTAAAAAGTGTTTTTATTGTTCTTACTATTTATTTTTTCTAATTCTATGAAATAAAATATTAAGTAATTTATTTAAGAAAATGGCTGGTTGATGAATAATTGTTTTTATTGAACTGAAAATAAAACTAAATTTTATCAGTAATTTATGCACCTCAGGAATAGCATACAGGAAAGGTAAATTTAAAACATATTTGGTTTAAAATGAAGTCTTTTCTAAGCTTTATTCAAATTACTAATTACTGTACTCTTAGCTTTGTTAACAATTT